TTAAGACTTTAATAACAAAAATGTAGCTAGAAATTATTTCACCTCATATCCCCTAGAGTAATTTAAATTAAATTCAATAATAATTCATCTCAGATATTTCAGATAATTCATCTTCTAAAAATAGTTGGTTAAATCCTAATACTCTTTACTCTAATTAGAATTTTAATGTCTTAGTAATTCCTGTTAGAATAAGCATCAGACTCATTGAATTATGAAGTATACAAATCAAGTAATCCTATGTCTAGATCATGCAAGAATTGGTATTTTACCCTTGTCAGGATTAAAACCCCAAAATATTTATTGTGAGCTCTAACCCTCAAATACGTATAAGAGTGATCAATTCATACAGGGATATAGAAATTCATGCAAGGTAAAACACAAATAACTGAAACAATTTATTAAAGAAACAAATTTAAACCACAAATAAGATTCACGTCGGATCCATAATCCTAACTACAAAAACAAACTAGCCAGACATAGCAAGCTTAAACAAAATAAAGAATGAAAAAGAATTAAAAGAAGTCATGAAGAAGAAGAATCAATGTTGCTCAATCTCCTTCAAGCTTTTCTCTCCGAAAATCTCCATCTCTCGCTCTTGCCTCCTTCTTTCTCTGTTGCAGAATGTGTCAACCTCTTTGTGTTTCCAAGAGTTGCCTTTTTATAGTGATGAAACCATATCTTTTAATTTTTCATAATATCTTCAATGGAATCTTGTCTAAAATCTCCAATCATATCTTTAATCAAATCCTTAAAATCTTTCCTTAAAAATATTCAATAAGATCTTCAATGAATTATATGTTTCAGAAATCCAAAACAAATTCATTTGAGCTCTCCAATTTATCTTTTTATTGAGCTGAAAATTACTGCAAAATATAAAAAAATTATGAGAATATTACTTAGAATAAAATAACACTTTAATTATAATTCTCATAACTTTTAATTACTTTTAAACTAACTTCATACTCATATTAATCTTTAATACATAATAAATTGGAGACTCATCATCTACTATAGTTGAGTGCTGCGAATTTATGTGTAAGGGTCTTTTCATTTATGCTGCCTGTGAGTAGCGTCATTTGTTCTTATTGGAGGATTGAGGTAGGTTAGTGTCTGCCTGTTTGGCTATGTCACAGGTAATGATGCCTTAAGGTTACGTCTTTAAGTTGCTTTGCAGTGAAAATATGCTGGTTCATTTTTATTGGCTCCTGGGAGTTTGCTTGCCCAGAGTAGCTGATCTCGTTGTGTTCTGTGACTCCCCGTATATATCCGATAATGTTATCATACTATCGTATTAAGCAGCGCTTAATTAAAAATGCGGAATATCTTTTTCTTTTCAATTATGATGTCATTATCATTACCAACTTGCTTATTAATCAATTAATAAAACATTGCCTATATGTAATTGCAATAAAACAACTATCTGAAAATACCTCATAACATATATAATAAAAGTGTGGCTCTAGTCACGGAACTACAACAACGTAGACTGGACCATCTAACAGTTTATACAACTCCAAATCAAAAGCACTAACATAAAGTGTCATGGACAATCCCCATGCTCACTCAAATAAGGCAACACGCCCAACATCAGTCTCAACAACAACATAAACATAAATAGCGGAAAACATAAACAGCATCCATATCCAGTCATGGCAGCAAACAGCATAATATCATCAACTAAGCTCTGGTCTCCTGCCGCCAGAGGCATCAGTCACCAAACTACCGGAACCTGAAATAAGCATTCCCCAAACGTGGGGTGAGATCTCTAAACAAGAAATCTCAGTAAGACAAGGGGTCCTCAAGGATCTTCCACCCCAAGCTCACTTACATGTGCAATATAAGTTTAAAAGCAGATATCATCATCAGTTCTAAAATAGTGCAATGCAGCAGATAATCATGTCATGTGTGTCAATTCTCCAGAGAAATGCAGGATTTACATACGCTAAATACCCACACTAGTGCAAGACGCTACTTGCATTCACCCCGGATCACCATCTCGTATGACGCCACATACTCAGGTTTACCGTCAAGATGAAACCACACATGCATATTAAAAGCCATTACACATAAAGCTCAACAGCATTTCAAATATTCAAAGCATGTAACACAGCATGCATACAACCGTACCCCCATGGGACATGGTGGAACCACAACATGGCTAAACCGATGACACGAAAGCTTACCTTGCAAGCTAACTCCCAAAGACAAGAGTCCACAGCTCAAAGTCCAAACACAACAGATTCACAATCTGTTATAGACCAATACTATATCAATAATAATGCAACACACACATATAATTTAAAGACAACGCCTTTCCTTACATTTTACGTCTTAAGGCTCTATACCAAGTCATAAGTCCTTAATCACAACGGTTCTGACTTAGTTCATTAATTACAAAAGTTCAACTTCATCAAACTAGGGTCCAAAAACCCCCAATAGCCTACTGTACACACAGCACAGCTACTGTTCCACGAAATCCCAGAATATCCGGATATTCCTCGGGACCATATCCGGATATGCAATATCCGGATATCTCACTGGACATATCTGGATATGCAATATCCGGATATCTAATATCCGGATGTCCAAATCCCATATCCGGATATCACATATCCAGATATTCATTGGGCACATATCCGGATATTTCACGACAGAATGCAGAAAATGTATTTCGTGAAGATATCCTTCCAAGGTTGGGTTTTTACCGATTTTAAACACCTAAACATACATCAACATTACCCAACAACAAGTTATCATCTTTTAGTCATTAGATGCATCAAGGTACCATTTTTAAGCCTTAAAACTCAAGTTAAAGGTTGGTACAAACATACCAAGGCTCAAAACTCAGAAGTAAAGGCTCTTGGAGCTCCACACTCTGCCTCTCCAAGTCTGACTTGAAGGGTACACGAAAATGCTACCAAAGCTTAGCCCTTTCCACACAAAGGAAGCTCCTTGGAGCTTCACAAGTCAAGAACAAGACTCTCACCACCTCAACTCAAGAGGACAGCCCCTCTAACACTCACAAACAGCAACCCCAACACAGAACAGGGTCAACAACACAGCCCCAAAGCTACTCTCACCCCACACCAAGTGTTTAGGAGAAGGATTTGTGAAGGAAGTTGCCTCAAAGCTCAAGAAATGGAAGAGGAACACAATGGAACAGTACTCAGCAATTGGCCAGCCCCAAGACTCACGTAGAGAATGTGTTATGGCCTAGGGTTTTGTGCTAACAAGCCTATATATAGCCACTTAACATTTAAACACACAGTATTAACTTTAATTGCTATGCTTAGCATTTTAATCCCAAACTTTGGGATCTGAAACTACACATTTTTCCAAGAATTATCATATTTTTTTATAATTTTCTGAGCACCTTTCCGGTATGCGCTTTTCCAAGCCAGTACCGGTTTCTAGCACCAGTTCTCATTATTTGGACTTGAAACTCGTTTTACAAGTCCTACATATCATTCTAGTAATTATCATGCACTTACATTAATTTTCCGGGATACTTTTTCGGCACGTATTTATACCGATTAGCAGAACTGGTATCTGCGCTTTTCTTCCGAAAAGCCACTTTCCGCATTATTACTCACTTACTATAATTATTAAAGCCTCATAATAGTTATTAGGTCAATTATGAAATCATTTTCTATTTTCTATAATTTATTAATTAAATTCTTTAATTAACGGTGCGGGTTCTTACATGTTCTCGGTTGTCTACCTAGTACTACTTTTTGCGGGATGTCATTGTCATATGTAGGCGAGATCTGGGTTAAGCAATGGTGTTGGGTCTTTTCTGGTCGTGGCCTTTTAATCTCGTTTTTTTTTTTACAGGGGGGGAGTCCATATCAATTATTAATCAAAAATTTATTTTAAAAAAGATCCATGATAACTTTTAGCATAAGTGAAAAATGGATTTTTAGGACTTTCAATGTAATCAAAATATTATAAATGAAAAATTATAAAACTTTCATGAGTAGAAGGGAAAAACACTTCTTCCAGTGTTTTCTTATGCGGCTGACTAAAAAAAAATTGTTTATTTTCTTAAATAAAATATGGTGAGCCCGATTATATTTTCTGTGTCGTCGGGAGATGGGAAAGTTATTCTGTTACATGCGAGACTCAAATCCCTAAGGAGAATTTGTTGTATTTGCTCTTTCACCTTTAATATATGGACAAAATCCAAGAAGTCTAGAGTTGTCATGCGTCGTCATGGTTAGATTAGGATATATAATGAGTGTTTGTGCAAATGATGACAGCTAAATTAGTGTCAAGAACTATAAGCAGGTGAGTTGAGATCATCCGTTCGATTCTGAGTATTATCTTTGAAGGAGTTTAAAACTTTAATTCCGAGATCTGTTCCGAATCGAACTAATCGCAAAGTGATAAACGATTGAAATAAGTAAAAAAATATGTTTGGGTTTCATGCTAGGTTTTGTATTTTGTGCCATTAAGCATATGATTACAAAAATGACTTGAACGTACACTTTTATAGGTTGAATGGAGGAGAAAATATATAGACAAGTCAGAATATATTTTGGTAATAAGATATTAGCTTATCATTTTTTATTTGAGAATGTTATATTTATAAATTTTTTTGTTTACAAACTACATTATGTTTGACCGGTAACACATTTTTGAGTTAAGCATTATCGGTCAGACATAGTATAATTTGCAAAAATTTATAAAAAAGTAAACAGATCCTTCTCTTTTTTATTTTTTCTCTAGAAAATTATAGATTAAAGTTTATTTATTATCTCTTTATTTTTATAAATAAATAAATCATATGATTTGATAATATGTTTTATGTGATAATGTCATATAGAATATGTGATATCATATTGATGCATACAATGATAATTTTCATAACTAATAAGCAATATGATTATAATATTTTTTATTAACTTTATAAAGACATATTATAAGTTGTTCTAATTTCATTTTCTTTAGGACCTCAGCTAGCTAGCATTATTTCAGCAATAAGTTTACTTATACTATATTCAAATGAGGACCTTCCATTGGTTAGCTACGTCAGCAAGTGCCTCAAAGCTTGTCCCACCAAAGTTAATAGCTTTTAATGCACTTTCTTTGAGGTCGTTGGCCCTACCTCTCATGGCTTTCCCTTCTTCACCTTCCATCACAGCCCTCACCACTCTCTCAATCTCCTTCCTTCCGATCACCCTCCTCCCTGCCTCCACCGCCGGCTTGATGGCCACACCTATATCCTCTGCAATCATTGTAGCATTCAGCATCTGGTCGGCGTAAAGAGGCCATGTAATCATGGGCACGCCATGACTCACACTCTCCAACACAGAGTTCCAACCACAGTGAGACAGAAATGCCCCAGTGGAGTGGTGGCGCAACACCAACATCTGCGGGACCCATGACGGAACCACCATCCCCAACTCTTTAGTTCTTTCCATAAACCCTTTTGGCAGGTATGATTTGGGATCGTTCACGTCGACACCAACATCGAAGAAACTTTTCATTCCTGTATTCACTTTCGTTGGGGTACGTACCATCCATAGGAATCGTTTCCGACTCAGTTCCAAACCCCATGCTAACTCAGTGAGCTGCTCCGCACATAGATGTCCTCCGCTACCGAGTGCAACAAACAGAACAGACTCCGCAGGTTGCTTGTCAAGCCAAGCCAGACATTCTTCTCCGGTTTGGGTGACCGGTTCAGTTTCTTTCACAAGCGGTCCAATCGAGTAAACCAGCGGCGTGTGTATCTGTTTGTAGAAAGGATGTTCCCGGATAGCTCGAATCGGAACCGGTTCGAGATCCTCCCATGTGTTGATGAAAATCCCATCAGCCATGGGAAGACGACAAATGTGATAAGAAAACCATTCATTATCACCGTTGTTCAAGAGCGGCGGCACATCCTCAGTTCTGAGCGGTGCGCAACCTGGAAGGTGAAGAAACTCGACGGAAACGTCACGTTGAGTCTCTCGACAGTCGAAGAAAGAGAAGGCAAGAAAGAGGGCTGAAGTAGTGCAGAGAATGTAGGAATGAATAGAAAGGTCCCTGCAGATATCCAACGTTTGGGTGCTAAACAAATCGGTTATAAAAGCTTGAGGGTTTTGCATGTCCAAGAGTGTGTCTTTAAGGCAACGAAGGCTTTCACGTACGATGATGCAAAGGTGGGAGAACACAGAAGTGTCGTCAGATATTATGGCGGAGACGTCAGCAGGTGGAAGATCAACGACATTGAGGCCGGGAGGGAGGTGGTTGAAGGAGGAGTGAAGCATGCGGATTTCGTTGACGGATGCTTGGGTGCTGATATGAAGAAATGTCACGTGACAGTTGTGGTGGAGGACGAGGCGCTTGGCGAGCTCCAACATGGGTGTCACGTGACCCATTCCTGGACTCGGGAGAACAACAACGTGAGGTTTCATTGCATCGACCACCATTGTTACTGAGTTGGATGATACAAGACGATGGGTATGGCTTCCCTCAGACTGTGGTTGCTAATATATAGAAATTAATTATGTGGTTTTGATTATTACTGTTACTGACAAGAGAACACGGTGACTTAAGATGCATGAGCTGTTATATTTGATATTACACACTGATCCATAAAGGTATAAGGGAGAGGACAAACATATTGTAAATGATTTAGAGTTACCGATTGACTTACTCATACAATAATAAAAGTAGGGTTCTGCTATGCAACGCTTTAATCGTGAAACTGGGGGGAAAATTGTTAATTATTTTTTAAATAAAAAAAAATACTTCTAGCTGTTGGGCGTGCATAAAAGTCAAAGTTCTACATTAATATGACTTTAAAAGCACCATATATATATATATATATATATATATATATATATATATATATATATACATATATATAAGGTAGAATCCGTTGATACTAGTGTCAAATTTGAAATTTGACATCTCGTCTAAGAGCTATTCGATAAAAAAAAATCAATGACTCTGATTTGTAAGCATGTGACACCATTGATCCTACATATATATATATATATGGATTTATCGTTTCTCAAGCTGCTTGAGATAATTTTATCTCTGACTACTAAATCATAACCGTACAAAGATGGATAAATGGTGATAAAGGAAGAGAGAGAAAAAGATAATCATAACCATTCAAAGGTGAATTAATTAATATAAGGAAATAAATAAATAAAACGACGTAGTTTTGGGATAGCCGGAGATAAGCTTATCTCAAGTATATATATATATATATATATATATATATATATATATATATATATATATATATATAGGGCTTATCATTTCTCAAGCTGCCGGAGATAACTTTATCTCCGGCAACTAAATCATAACCGTACAAAGATGGATCAATGGTGATAAAGGAAGAGAGAGAAAAGGGGAATCATAATCATTCAAAGGTGAATCAATAAATATAAGAAAATAAATAATCAAAATGACGTAGTTTTAGGATGGCAGGAGATAAACTTATCTCAAGCAGCTTGAGAAATATTTTTCCCATATATATATATATATATATATATATATATATATATATATATATATATATAGAGGTTTACATTTCTGCAGCTGCTGTACGTGCAGCAATCAAATACTTGGCATATATATTCTTGAAAGCATTAAATTCAGGAAATCATAACCATACAAAGGATGAAAGCATTAAATGTGGAGAATCATAACCATACACCTGTCGTTGCTGTACATAAAGCGGCTGCGGAAATGATTTTACTATGTATATATATATATATATATATATATATATATATATATATATATATATAAACACATTAAATTAAACAAAAGGATGTTTGAATATAAGGGAATGTTATACTTATTAATTTTATTTTTTATATCGATCCTAATTATTTTTTGGGGGTGAGTCAGGCCTCGGGTATCCCACTAGCTTCAACTCTTTGAGCCGGCTATGAGATTAATCGCAAATCAGTTCTTAGTCTCAATTAAAGCTTCTTGTCCTTCCCCACATCTATATATACTAGTATTGTGGTCTTACCACTCTTACTACCTATTTGGTTATTACCATTGGAATAATTGGAAATCAACGATAGTTAAATTTTCTCCTTTTTCAACTGTTGATTTCAAGTTTTTCCAACGTTAACCAAATAGGTACTAAGAGTAGTAAGTCTAAGGGTCTGTTTGGTGTGATGTATAAGGCCTGATAATATAAGTTTATACTATACATTATAACATTTTTAGTTGTTTGGTGTGATTATCGTATAGTATAAGCTTATACAACAGAATCTCTTTATAAATAATAATGATATATAACTTAATCAGATCTAGGGGGTGGGATTAGGCCTGATAAGGGGTTGATGTATTAACCAATGCAATTCTCAAGAATAAATCTATTATTTTAATAATAATATATTAAAATAAAATTAATTTTTCAATATATAAATTTTTAAAATATTGGATATTTTTATTTTTCTAAAAATTAATATTTTTTGAAAATACTGATCAATAGATTTTTATAAAAATTAATATCATATGACATATTTGAAAGAATTATATAAATTCTTTACTAAAATGGTATATTTATCAAAAATATTTATTTGTATCCTATTTAGTATTATACAGTGCATTATCAAATACTAAACGATATTATCTTATACAATATCATGTCAAACGCTTGATACTATTAAAATTTAATCAGGTATTATTTAATCAGGTCTTATACTATCATGCCTTATCCTATACTGTGTACCTAACATGTCCTAAAATGATAGTAAGTATAACCGTCCCCTTGAATATAAGCCAACAATAAATTATTTTATATTTTAAGTCATGTAAAATTCTAAATAGGATAAAAAAAATTATTTATCTATATTTAATATTCAAATTGACTTGAAATTAATAAATGAGTTTAATAATACTATTAGTTCTTTAAGAATATAATAAATAATTAATTGAATTAAGATATTATTATATCCTTATAAATTTTAATATAAGTATGTTAAGCATTAACTCCATTCTTAAAATTAATAAATTGTTTCAACATAGTTAATGATTATTCATGCATGTATACAATTCAATTAGTATTTTTTTATATCCTCAAAATTTCATTTTAATGTAAATTCAACACTAACTCATTCATACTTGAAATCAATAAATGATTGCAGTTTATTAATGATTCTTTAAGAGTATGTATATAAATTATACAAATGATCATTTGGTGTTTGTCATTTTAAATGATATAAATTATGTCATTTTAAGAGAGAGATAGACACAATAAATGAAAATCATGGGAGAGAGAAAGTGGATACTTTTTTTTAATTTAAATTTCAAATAAATTTTTTTTCTTGTGTCTATTTCTCTCTTAAAATGACATAACTTTATGTCATTTAAAATGACAAACACTTTTCCCTAAAAAAAAAAAACTTATACAAATCAATTATGACATATTGCTGTGGAGGATGTATTTTTTCATGTGAAAATTTTGTTCTATTTCTTTACTTACAAACATTAAATAGGTGCGATTTAACTAATATTTATAAATTGATAGATAAATGCAAAATATTTACATTATCAAATTATAATGATTACTATATCACTGATGAAATTTTAAGAATCAGTAGTAATAAAATTCAATTAATTTTTTTTATTTATCTTTTCATTATTTAAATATGAGTACATTTACCGAATCAATTTAAGTAGCGTAAATTCATTTTCATGATATGTACACCCAACGCGAAAATTCAATTAAAAGACTTAGAGTTAAACATTTACTTCTATATATGGTTTTTCTTATCTGTGTTTGAGGCTTTTATTCAATTACTGAAAATATAATAACCCAGACATTTATAATGAGTAGGGATTTTTCATGATTAATAAGAAAGATAAATTATATCATAAATCTAATTTTTACTTTCAAATAAAAGTGCAATTGAATTTTGGAATAAAAATGCAAATTAGGTAAAATTACCTGAAAATTATATATAAATTATTGAGAGACTAATTTATGAAAATTATGAGATAAAAACACATGTTTAGAAATATCAAGTTTTGGCTAGAAATGAAGTAAGAAAGTAAAGTTAAATGATTAAGTAACATGTTTGGACCATCAACCAAAGTCTACAAATGACTTTTTTAAAATAGGGTCAAAATAATCAATCACTTGAATAATATTGTCTCTTTCACTTTCTTCTTCTTCTTTATGCAATGTGTAAAACTTAATAAAATTTAGTTAGTCGTAAATATGAGATTGAGAACTATGAGTACATTATACTAAAAAAAAAAAACATACATTATGGTATGCTGCTCAAAAGAGTTTTCTTCTTTAATGACAATAGTTAAACCATGTAAAAAAGAAAAAGAAAGAAAGAAATGAGTCTAGATTAGGTATAATCATATAAAATTAAAATTTAATGTTTTAAACCCTTGAATTTTTTATATGAAAAATGGAAGAAAATTTCTCATATCGTTTTTTATATGGACCTACATGATTAGGGTACTATATCTTTGTATTACAAAAAAAAAGGGTACTATATATATCTTACAAACATATATAGTTTTATACTATATTAAAATCATTACTAATTTTTTATGTGGCTTTAATGGAAAATTTAATTTTGAACAATTTTCTTTCATTTTTCATAAAAAAAATACTCAAATATTTTAAACATTAAATTTGTAATTTTATAAATTACTTCAAAAATCAAGGACCTATTTGGTTGGTTAACCAAAGTTTTTGATTGCATTCAGATAGATACTTGCCAACGGTCTAATTAGAAATTGAAGCGGCATAAAATGTCCATAAATGAAAAACATTGGTACAATTTGTTACTTATACTTTAACTGTTCTGCAAATAGCAGTGGTCGTTAGAAATTAGGCTTTTTGACCCTTATGCCCCTTAATTAATAATTAATTACCAAATTGCCCCTCATTCAAAACTATTTCGAAAATTTACCCTCCCCAACAAACATAACACCAATCTGCCCCTGTTTGACCGTTGACCACGAAGCCTACCCGGGTACACCATTACCTACCCGGGTAAATTTTGAAACTTTTTATCTACCCGAGTATGTAGGGGTGTACCCGGGTAGAGTTCTTGAATCTGGGAAAATGTTTGAATTATTTACCCGGGTACAGAGCAGTGTACCCGGGTAAATCGCGTCCAGAAACCCCAATATGTATGGGTTTCGGCCATTGTTGCGAGGTATAGGGTTTTTGAAACCCCAAAATCTTTCTCTCTTACCCTCTCTAATCCGAAACATCACACATATTTCATCTCATCATTTCAGAAAGCTGAATCTTGGTGGGACATTGAGATTACATCTCCACACTCCCATTTTGTGCTAAAAAATCCGAACCAACCTCCAAACCCAAAACCTAGATCTAATTTTTGTGTGAAAGATGAGTTCAAGTCCAAACATGGTTCCTATAGTTGTTTACTACAATGGGAGGCATTTTGAAGGTCCGAACGGTGTC